AAGTGTTATTGAGTTTTTAAAAATTCTCAGTAATAGCACGGAGTCTGGAATTGTGCCCGGTATATGCCAATAGGCTCATCACCTATTACATGGGACTCATCATAACATAAACAGTAAAAGTGGGTGTTACATAGTACAGTGGCATAATGTGCACCTCTGCCTACCCCTTCGGGGATAAAAGGCGTGATGTTATATCATGTTATGTTACATGTTGCTCCACATTACAGTTGGGTGTTTTCTGCAAAAAATTCTGCAGAGACAACAATTTTATACAAGCAACTAACGACTGGAATATTGTGGAGTTTACAATAATTACACTGTGTGCGTTACCCAGGCCAGATGTTGTCGAAAATGGTCATTTGAATCTTATAATAATTAATTTATTTATTTAGGTTAGCCAACGACTGTTTACACATCATATTACAACGAATCGGTTTAGATACAATATGCATTTGCTAGTGTAACAATCAATTAAAGGCTAACACATCATGCTCAAGAGAATAGTTAGGTATTAGAAGTTTAAATTATTAAATTAAATTAATAAACATAAAATACAACTATTAAATTAACACAAAAATTAAATTATTAAACACAAATAATAATTTCCCATTAACAGAAATCTATTTAAGGTGAACATACATTAGAACAAACATAGGAAACAACAACAAAAAATAAAACAAACAAGTTGTGCGGCTTCTGTAATTGTTGTGCACATTTTTAAATTATTTCACAAAATCATTTCCTGCTGGGGTAACGTTACCCCAGCCAGACCTTTTTCTTTCTAATGGGAATATTTAAATAATTACTAACTATAAAATTAGTTGTCTAGGTGAAGTAAATGTTGTGCCTTATTTTGTATTTGTTCTGTCATCAGTTGCGAAGTTATTCGAGAGATTCTGCTGGGGTAACGTTTTTGGTTTTGCTAGATCTTTGAAATGGTTAAGCGGATTTTTATTATATTTTGTACATGGCTTCTTAGAAATTAGTTTAAATTTGTTCTGCAATAAAAAAACCAAAATAATACATAGCTTAGGTTAGGTATATAGTATAGGTTATTTCATTGAATAGATAAACACTTCAATTAGTCCCAGCACTCTCAATAAGAGCTCTAAAGACTTACTTTAAACGTTATTTTAAAGCTTGTAACTGCCTTCACAAGTATGTGAAGTTTCATTAGTATCACGAGCACGGTCTTGATGCGCGCGGTTTTATTTGGCCACTGGATTGGATATATGTTATGCCAATAATTAGTTGTTTAGTTCAGTTATATATCAGTAAAATATCAGCTCAGTATATTGGATAATTAATGAAATAATACGATTAAACATTTCGGATCGCAGATTGACTTAAATTAAGTTGAGCACTAACGTTTCTTTGGCTGTGTCCGGCCTGAATAAGTGCCACAGCTTGGGCGGCGACTTCAGGTGAAGTATCCATAGATTATTGATAGAACCTCACCTTAATGTTAAGAATAAGTAATGTTTGTTGCAAAACCAAAGATATCAATCACTTTTTCAAGAATTAAATCCAAGTAAACCCATTAAACCAAGTTTTCTTAGTATTCGATTGTTTGATACCAACAAACAGGCTCCAAATTGTCTTTTGTTTCTTTAAATTTTGTGTTCGAAATTCAAAAAAAGACTATTGAATGAAATTGTGAATGGTGCCAGGTTCAAAACTGCATAAAAACTTTTTGCTCGACTTAATATAAAATTTTTGCTATGACCAAACGAAACTGAAAATACAAGGTAGGACAATAGATGTGTCCAGAAGTATATTACCTGTCAATAAAAAATATTTCATTATTACGTACTTTCTTTTTAAAGGTGATTGCCCATTCTTCTATGGACCGCCGTTGCGCATAAAAATAAGTTGTATGATAGCATAAATTGGACATAAAAGAGTGGAGATGTCGTATTTTCCAAGGAAATAAAAATTATCTATTTATTTTGTGGGGTTTTAATGTTCTTTGATTTTTGGTTTAAGTTTAGTTATGTAACTACCGAAAAAAGCAGTCCTTACAACAATATGGTTTACATGTCTCTACTAATCTACTATCCTACATATTTTTGAAGGTACCATAATGTTCTGCGTTTTCGTTTTTTCGTAACCACCTAACTTGGTCGGGTTACCACGGTCAATCACTTCCTAATGACTTAAAACTGTCAAACACCGCGCGGTCACCGGTGACCGCAACCTATTGTTCTTTAATTGTGTCTAAAATGACGGTACTCAAAGAGTTAATCGTATATACAAACTTTAAAATACCGTTTAAAGTTAGTCCTTAGAGCTCTTATTGAGAGTGCTGGGACCAATTGAAGTGTTTTTCTATTTAATGAAATAACCTTTAAGCTATGTATTATTTTGGTTTTTTATTGCAGAACAAATTTAAACTAATTCCTAAGAAGCCATGTATAAAATATACTAAAAATCGGCTTAACCATTTCAAAGAAACCAAACCAAAAACGTTACCCCAGCAGAATCTCAAATAACTTCGCAACTGATGAGAGAACAAATACAAAATAAGGCACAACATTTACTTCACCTAGACAACTAATTTTATAGTTAGTAATTATTTAAATATTCCCATTAGAAAGAAAAAGGTCTGGCTGGGGTAACGTTACCCCAGCATGTTTGTTGAGATGTTTTTGTGAAATAATTAAAAAACTACATATAAGCTCATCGAATTTCAAAATTGTGCGCAATATTTACAGAAGCCGCACAACTAATTATCTATAAGATTCAAATGACTATTTTCGACAACATCTGGCCTGGGTAACGCACACAATTACACTAACTCAATCAACTAAGGGCCGATTTATAAATCATTAGTTAATTCTTAGCTGTTGAAGGCAAAATAAGAGGACGTAAGTTATTAGAAAATGACAACTATCTGTACCTTATTTACGCAAATAAATAATTTTTGATTTTGATTTTGATTTTGAAGAATAAAATTAACACTTGACAGTTTTTAGTACGGAAGAATTGTCAAAGTTATTGACTAACTGATGATTGAAAAATCGGCCCTAATTGATACATTCATGAACACTACAATATTGCGTACCGTTCTCATCCTTCCTCTCCCCGAGCCTCTGCCCGCCGGCGGCGGCGCCATACTTCTCCAGCCGCTCCGTCAACTCCGCGCGCTTGCGTTCCTCGCGCTGTACACAAACAATACAATTATATAGAAAGGTTTTTTAATATTAGAACATACAGGGTGTCTCACGGCAGAGTTAGGATTTTGAAATGAAATAAAAGTCAATTTGCATATTTTATTGAAAAGATTTTTATTGAAAACTATTGAACTATAATGCGCATTTTATTTTTTTAATATTACATCTTCCAAATGTCTTCCATTTCGTAGCACGCACTCACGGAATCGATTCATCGCATTTTGCATAACGCGCCTAAGCATAGCCGGCTCGATGTCGCTTATTTCTTGTTGAATATTTTGTTTTAGCTCAGCGATATTTCTCCGACGTAAACTTTACTCTTAAAGTACCCCCATAGGAAAAAGTCCATGGGTGTCAAATCTGGTGATCGCGGAGGCCGCGCAATATCACCAAAGCGGGATATCAATTTTTGAGGAAACAATTCACGAAGTTGGTCCATAGTGGCTCTTGCAGTGTGGCAAGTGGCTCCATCCTGCTGAAACCACGTTCTTGAGCTGTAGGCTGGATGCTCTCGAAGTTAGGGTATAAAATAATTGGATATCATTTGCCGATAAGCCTCCCCAGAAACAGTTATCGCAGCACCTGTCGCATTTTCAAAAAAATACGGCCCGATTATTCCATTGACCGAAAGAGCACACCACACTGTCACTTTTGGGCTATGCAGCGGTCTTTGATGTTTTTGTCTGGGATTGACTTCTGACCAAAAGCGACAATTTTGTTTGTTAACTTATCCATTCAAATGGAAATGTGCTTCATCACTCCAAAACACAGTATTCAAAGTGCGAAATCTCTGAATGATTGTCTGGCAAAAACTTTTACGTAAATTGTAGTCATTTTCATTTATTTCCTGCACTATCTGTATTTTATAGGGATGGAATTTTAAATCACGTTTTAAAATCCGCTCTACGGTTGATTTGGTGACGTTTAAAGCCGCCGCTCTTTTGCGTATTGACAAGCGTGGATTACGTCGAACGCTAGCTGCAACTTCGTTCATTGTTTCTTCCGTTCTTGAAGTTCTGCTTGGGCCCGGACGCGGTTGATTTATAGCGGAACCGGTAGCTCGAAACTTGATAACCCATTTACGAATCAAATTTTCGCTTGGTCCATCGCGTAAACGTCTGATATTGTAGTGAGAACAAAACTGTCTTCGAGCCACGACGTACGATTCTCCACCTTTCAAAAACGCTTCGATAGCGAACGCGCGGTGCTCACCCGACCACTGCGACATCGTGACTAACGAATCCGCACGAATGACGAAGCTACTGCGTTCCTCCCCCCGCGCTTACTTGCAACGGTTTTTAAAATATTCAAATTTAAAATCCTAACTCTGCCGTGAGACAACCTGTAGTATGTATGCATAGTATATGTGGCCGCGTCGTATTCTCGGAATTTACTGGCCCGAGACCATCTCCAACATAGAGCTTTTGGAGAAATGCCACGAAACCCAATCGACCGCCAGATTTAGCGCCGCAAGTGGGGATGGATAGACCATACGCTCTGAAGGGGTCCCGACCATATTTCCAAGCAAGCCTTGGACTGGAATCCCCAAGGGAAAAGAAAGCGTGGCCGTCTTCGGCAAACCTGGCGTCGCATCGCACTGGCAGAAGCGACGAGCATCGGTATGACGTGGAGTGAGGTGAAGCGTTAAGCTCAAGACAGATCGCGATGGAGAATTTCAGTGGACGCCCTCTGTCCTATCTAGGATACATAGGATATTAAGTCAGTAGGTAATACCTTTGATTTGGAAGTGAGTGATAGAATAACAAGACTTCAAATAGTACAAAGATTACAAAAATGGTGACAGTTGTGACACGACACTGTAGTAAGTTAGTAATGTACCTCCTTCTGCAGTTCGAGCGCCCTCTGTGAGTCAGCGAGTAACTTCTGTTGCTGCGCCTCCCGCGCGCGCTGCACCGCCTCCATGCGAGCCAGCGCTATGTCAGGGTCTAGACGAGAAGCATTAACTTACATTTAAAACAATTAAATATGTTATTATAACACTGTGAGTCGATCAGTGCCGTAGTTGAGGCGGCGCCAATGGTACCCAGGCATAGAGTTAATATAACTTTTTTAGTATTTTCAAATGAGTAGCCCGCGATTTATAGTTACTTTAGTTTGTCTCACGAGAGTTATTATGAAAATACTCATAATAATTTAATTACCTATGTAATTTACTTAAGTGTTACCTACTTGGTAACAACAGCACACTTCGACGCCCGGGCACAAGGATGTCGAAGAAAAAGGCGGACTTACACTCAACTATTGAAAGGCTACTCAACTTTAACTTGTACTTAAATATCGTGCCATCTCTGTCATTTTACAAAGAATTTGTAGCGACAGAACTATAGTTAAGCGCGACTTAAATTGAGTGACGTTTGAGTATTTGAACAGTAATGTCACTTAGAAATTATTGAAGCACTGAAATATCAGTGGTGTATTTAGGTGTGCGTGTACTTGCAACACCGTAATGTATAAAGTGTAATAACAGGCCATGTCACAGACAGACACATGCGACAGATGTCCTTCGCGTCAATATGTGTCTGTTCTGCGTGTTAGTATATAATAACCAGGTGCCACAGTCGTTGTTTCAAGAGACTGCCCACCATTTTTGAACGTCCTTGCTTGGTACTTAACATACATGCAAGAGAATATGGAACACCAATTGCTACGATTCCTACATTCCTCTTTCGCTTCATCAAAAGTCGGCAATCTTTTTATGCATGCTCGTCGTATTTAAGTAGTGTGCGTTACCCAGGCCAGATGTTGTCGAAAATGGTATTTGAATCTATAGATAATTAGTTAAGCGGATTCTGTAATTGTTGCGCACATTTTTAAATTTGTTGCGTTTATAGTTTTTCAATTAATTTACAAAATCATTTCCTACTGGGGTAACGTTACCCCAGCCAGACCTTTTTCTTTCGAATGGGAATATTTAAATAATTACTAGCTATAAAATTAGTTGTCTAGATGAAGTAAATGTTGTGCCTTATTTTGTATTTGTTCTTTCATCGGTTGCGAAGTTATTCGACATTCTGCTGGGGTAACGTTTTTGGTGCTGCTACATCTTTGAAATGGTCAAGCGGATTCTTATCATATTTTGTACATGGCTTCTTAGGAATTAGTTTAATTTTAACGTGACAACATCTTATAAATTGGTTTGCCGGGTGACACTTCAAGAAACTGCGTTACGCTCCGCTCACGTTATGCGCTCACAATGAGAGCGAGTGAGAGGCACGCGTCATGGTTAGCCCGCCTAAGAGCGAGAGAGACAGACATAAAAAGTGAAAGGCACGCGTCCCTTCCACTCGAGCACAGTTAGCCCGCCTAAGAGCGAGAGAGAAAAAGTGAGAGAGATAGGCATACACACCGGTTCATGTCTTGCTTCTTAGTATAAATTAATATTTTAAATATAATTCTTTGTATAAATAAATGTTTTAAATTGTTACTATTATTTCATCCTTCTTCCTACTATACGAATGAATATTCACATTAAAATTATTTTACCACTCAGTCGTTGTCACGTAAAACTTTCGCCCGTATACCGACTTTACAGGCAACCAATTTTTTTATGCAATAACATAACATAACCATAACATCATACCTTTTTATCCCCGAAGGGTTAGGCAGAGGTGCAAACAGAAGTAACACCCACTTTTCACTATTAATGTTATGAGTCCCATGTAATATGAGGTGAGCCTATTGCCATATACCGGGCAAAGTCAAAGCATTTATTTCAATTAAACCATAGTTTGGTACTTTTGAAACGTCAGCAAATACAAAATAAATAATAGTCTGTCAGTCAGTCCGTCAGTGAAGCTAGGTGAAGCTAGGTGCTCATTCCAAAATGTAGATTCGAATGGAGAAGAACGAGCAAGAAACTCCATTCGTTCTCTTTTTAAAAAAGTATGTTCTACAATGTCTCTGATACATATTCCATTTCCATTAGCCTACAAAATATGATAAGAATCCACTTAACCATTTCAAAGATCTAGCAAAACCAAAAACGTTACCCCAGCAAAATCTCGAATAACTTCGCAACCGATGAAAGAACAAATACAAAATAACAATAGATATGAGATTCATAACTATGTATAGACAAATGTATATTGTAATTAAGGAAAACGGTTTTTTTTCTCGGCTCACGTGTAAATATAGTTGGTAGGCCAGGGGATCTGATCGCTTCGTATTCGCAAACACGCGCTTTCATATTAAAGCTATTTAAGAACAAATACAAAATAAGGCACAACATTTACTTCATCTAGACAACTAATTTTATAGCTAGTAATTATTTAAATATACCCATTCGAAAGAAAAAGGTCTGGCTGGGGTAACCTTACCCCAGCAGGAAATGATTTTGTGAAATAATTAAAAAACTATAAGCGCAACAAATTTAAAAATGTGCGCAACAATTACAGAAGCCGCACAACTAATTATCTGTAAGATTCAAATGACCGTTTTCGACAACATCTGGCCTGGGTAACGCACAAATTAAAGTAGCATACAAATTCAACAGTAGGTACACAACAGTTGTACTGCACTCACTCTTATGGTACTCGGCGTCCTCGCGCTGCTGGCGCCATCTGTCGAGCGTCGGCCGAAACTTGTGGTACAAGTAGATGGCCGCTGCAATGCCGCCCAGGACAAACCACCCGTGTGCTGCCAGGAACTGGAATGCTAATATAAAGAACTTGTTAGATTGTTTCACATCATTAGTAAATGGTTGCCTCAAGTTCATAAGCATACATTTAAGTGTGGGAGAGCCATGCTTCGGCACGAATGGGTCGGCTCGACTGGAGTGATACCACGGCCTATCAAAAAAACAGCGACGTGAAACAACGCTTACGTTGTGTTTCGTCATGCGAGTGAGGTTACCGGAGGCCCAATTACCCTCCCCTTCCCCAATCTCCCCAATTCCTGAATCCCTAACGATGCTCAAACTCCTAATCCCCAAAAGGCCAGTAACGCACTTGTAACACCACTGGTGTTCCAGGTGTCCATGGGCGACGCCGATTGTTTAACATCAGGTGATCAATCTGCTTGTTTACCGGCTTATGCCACAAAAAATATGGGAGCTGCGCACATCCTAACTGGTTACCAGGGCTCCAACACAAAGCAGGAGAAGGAACGGGGTGGTGTTTAGTCAGTAAGAGTCTGACACTTCCTCCCGCCTCACTCAACACGGGAGAAGTAATTGGATGATTTTCCCCCCATTACATTACATAATTTACGGTTTATTAAATTAAAGGTTATGTTTAAATACTTATATTCTTGTTGTAATGTATGTTGAGGATATTTGTTGCCACATCACTACTGAAAGATAACAATTTAATGCTAACAATAACTTATTTAGGTACTTACAACAAACAGGATAACTGAGTATTACTACACTTCTTCCCATACTGTGAAATACTTAACTTTAGGAGTGGGCAATTATACTACATATACACATAACATCACACCTTTAATCCTCGATGGGGTAGGCAGGGGTGCACATTACGGCACTTAATGCCACTGTACAATGTAACACCCACTTTTCACAATTTATGTTATGAGTCCCATGTAATAAGGTGTGAGTCTATTGCCACACACTGGACACAATCCCGATTCCAGATTTTTCTAGATCTTTTTTAAAAATCCAGTAATACTTTGCCCGACCCAGGAATCAAACCCGAGGCCCCTTGCCTGGCAATCACACTTGCGACCACTCGGCCAATGAAGCAGTCAATCTAATTTAAATTATACTACATTAAACTTTTACTACCACGACTGTACAAGCAAGTGACAGCATCCTGGTCAACTTCATGTGGTGTTGGCATTGAGTCTACTGAACTACAGCTGAACATGCTATGAAATGGAAAATTCAGTATCTTATTCCAGAAGTTTCACTTCCACCTAAACTTTGTTGAACAGTCAACAAAGTTATAGCTGCTATAAACTTAGATGAAATAGTTATGAAACTTCTGAAACTAAAATAATCTACATTTTGTTGCAATCTACACTTACTGGTGGTGACGGGGCTGAACAGACTCGTGCCAGTGGCCTGCTCCTCCGCGAATATCTCTTCTTCCATCAGAGGATCCATTTTATCAGCAAAACCTTGGAAATTGCACAAAAACACGATATTTTAACACCCCCACAACAGGAAGCAACAATGTATCGTCGAAATTGTTCAATTAATGATGAGTCAATGCAATAATAACAGTTCAATGAGTTCTAAACTAATAAATAATTAATTAACCTGATACTAGAGGAGTTGTGGAATAATTTATAATATCAAATAAGTTTTGTTTCTTTTCGTTTGTGACCCAACCAATCCAATACAATAAATGACGTGTGTTCCAATGACGGCTTAATTACTGTCAACTGTCAGTGTCATTATAATGTCATTACAACTTTTAATATTTGGTGTGTTTGAATTGTAGGCTTTTGTCTTAAAAAGCTGAAGGCATTTACTTACTACTGCTCTCTAGCCTTCTATAGTTGTGAATAGCTCCACCTATTTTCGATCAAAATGTGGAAAATCGTTTTATAGTCTCTTCATTTGGAGAAAATGAAGGCAACTGTGACCCATATTTGACGTGGCCATGACGCTGCAGTAAACAAAAGTACAACTGTATAACACGGCGCTGTTTTCGGCAAACGGTCAGAAGGTAGAAGCCTAGATTTTACAAATATTCATTCGAGTTTTTATTAACTCAAATAAAAAAAAAAAGGAATAATGAATGTTAAGGATCGGTTTCGAAAACCAATAGTTTAATGTCAGGAATGAAGGAAACTCATAAATCGAATAGATCAAAAAAGCTAAGTGTAGTTAGGTAGCAGCCAGCCAGTCAATCAGCCCGATATAACAAGTCAAGCGGGGTTCTTATAAATCAGTGTGAACGCAATAAATAGCAAATATCTTCATAAATACAGACGGACGAGGTCCCCTGGGGACGCGACCGCGGGCTAGCCACGGCACACTGTGTACCCAATGAGGGCACGGCTTCTCATTATAACCAGTAATCATGGCCCCGCCTTGTATGATTTGTCCGCATATTCGACAGTCAGTTTATACTGGTTGTATAGCTTGATGTGAAATAGCCCTGTATGTGTACCTACACATGTCCGGAGAATTCATTTATAAATTGTTACTTATAAGTCGGTGTTAGTTGCACGATAGCTAGATATAGACAGCACATCAAGTTATTCCAATTTATCCGGAGTCACGGACAGTTTAACCGTTAGCGGGTTACCAGACGATCTCCGGCCACCGTAAGCGCAGGCCTGCGGACGGCGAGCATGGGTGGCTCGCTGCCCGATCAGAACCAGACCCGAGCTTACGGCGCGGCGCGTTCCGCGCGCGCTTCAAAGAGCCATCAGACCACCACGGATGGGGTCTAATAGGGCTGACGCCGATACGGATCCGCGGAGAACCTAACGGGTTACCGGGGCTCCGGCTCGACGTGCATGAGAGCAACGGGGTGGTTTTTAGTCAGTAAGAGTCTGACACTCCCTCCCGCCTCACCCAGGCGGGAGAAGTCATTCGATGATTTTCCCGTCTTTAAAAAAAGCGGGTTATCGGGGCTCCGGCTCGAAGTATGATTAGCGGGGTGGTGTTAAGTCAGTAAGAGTCTGACACTCCATTTCACTTAACCCAAGGCGGGAGGAGTCATTGAATGACGTTCGCCCCTCTACGTCTCTCAATAAAACACACAATCTAGTTTGTTAAACTTTTATAGAAAAAGAAATTGCAATTCAAAATTGGTAGATTTGCTCGTGTCTGATAATCTGAACAAGTAAACATAGTTTTAATCATGTTCCTACCTATTGTACGTACTTTAATATTTACTCACAGATTGGCACGGCTTGCATACTTACTACTTACCTCAGATTGGCTTCTACCTACTTACCTTATTTGAATGCACATTTCGGCTAAGCGATAAGTAAGTTATAACGGAGTCGTACTGAAGTGATTTAAAAACGAAGGGAGTTAATACTAAACTTTATTTTCATACATCACAGATAGATTTAATTATTACTATTATAGGACACATTCAGTTTATTCCTGAGTTTTTTTTAATTCTCTTTAGCAGATCGGAGTCTGGAATAGGGATGATGACAAGGTAGGTTAATTTTTATTTTATTTTTCGTATAAGAAAACAATACTTAGATATAACGAATCAAAGTTTAGGAGTGTGACGTAGCTACGTCATTTTAGAGTATAAATCGTACTCAAAAGTGACGTCATGCGATATTTCAAATCAATATAACTCGACGGATAACTTGCTCCTTGAAATACCTTCCCACCGGACCTTTTTTATTTCTAATTCCTTTACAATAAGTGTCATTAAACTTTGGAACGCGCTCCCCCTCAATTTCAAAAAAGCTCCTAATAAAATCTCCTTTAAACACCAAGTTCATGAATTTTACTTAAAATCGCTGCAACGCTAGGTCTAGGTCTTCGTCGATATATATTTATTTATGTATTTATACCTATATATTTTATGCATATGACTATATATACTATTTACTATTATGTAATATATATGTATAGGTATATTATTGAATAGTTACCTTTTTATTTATTTTTTCCTCTCTCTCTCTTTGCTGTTAGTTTATTCTCCGTACCTTATTTTTCGCAGATTTTCTATTTAAACCCTAAGGTTGACTGGTAGAGAATGCCATATGGCATTAAGTCCGCCTTGTGTGCCATATTAAAATTGTGTACATTAAAGATTAAATAAATAAATAAATATATCGTCGAAAGTATTCGTTTCCTTAAGAAAGTAATAATACGTGTCAAATGTTTTAAAACAATCTACCAGACGACATTAAAATAAAAATTAGTCATCAACCCTATTGTGCCCGGTATTTGGCAATAGGCTCACCCCCTATTACATGGGACTCTGCCATAAATAGTGAAAAGTGGGTGTTAAAGATAAAGATTTGTTTATTTCTAAGTATATGGTACATTGAGATCTTACATTAAATACGGAATCACATATACTACCATTACTGGTGTAGAAATTTTAAACAAGTTGAGTCCATGTCAAAGTCAAAGCATTTATTTCAATTAAACCATAGTTTCGTACATTTGAAACGTCAACAAATACAAAATAAATAATAGTCTGTCAGTCAGTCAGTCAGTGAAACTAGGTGAAGCAAATCATAATTCTCATTTGATACCTACCTCTACTAGTTTCGAGACTACAACAAACAGGATAACTGAGTACTACTACACTCGTTCCCATACTGTGAAATATTTTATTCTACGAGTGAGCATTTATACTACACGTAACATAATATCATGCCTTTTATCCTCGAAGGGGTAGGCAGAGGTGCACATAACGGCACTTAATGCCGCTGTACACTGCAACACCTACTTTTCACTATTTAATTTATGAGTCCCATGTAATAGGGGGTGAGCCTATTGCCATATACCGGGCACAGTTCCAGAGCCCGTGTTACTACTGAGATTTTTTTAAACCCAGTTATACTTTGCCCGATCCGGGTATCGAACCCAGCCGCCGCACTTGCAAACACTCAGCCAAAGAGGCAGTAAATATAAATAATGCAGAAAAAATAAACACAGAATATAAACCTTTGAAGTGACAATATTTAGGGACAGGATTGAGCAACGCTGCACTTGTTGAACTTCTCTGTGTAAGAAGTTCAAATTAAAAAACAGTTACAAATAAAGTTGATATTACGACCCTCCGTAAAAATGTCGCTAATAATACACGACACGTGGCGACACATCAAGCTATGCAAAACCAGCATAAATTGACCGTCGAATCTGCGTACAAGTCATTCAAACCGAGACCATGATATACTGGTCAAATGTAGCTCGGTGTGTCGTGTACCAATCATAAATAACACTTAAAGTTGCAAGCCAAAATTAATTAGGGACACGATTGAGCAACACTTGTTGTTAGCACCTAACAGGCTTCTTCAAGTAACAAAATAAAAAAAGAATATTTACAAATGTTGACGTAATTACGACCCTCCTTTAAAAATTTCACAAATAGTATTTGTGTCGACACAGAGGAAGCCGTGCAAACTCCTCAACTGTGTAGGTAACTTAGTTTGGGAGGATGTCGTAAGATGGCGTGTCACACCTCTACGTAGCATTACTTAATTAATTTCGTTCATAAGCATAGTTAGTACTACGATAATACCACATTTCTGGTTCTTTACGGTTTTGTGTATTTTTGTCTATCAATTCGGTAAATAAAAGGCGTGATATGTAGAATGATTTAATTAAGGGCTATGTACCCACGTCCCGGTTCTCCGCGACACGGTTAATAGGCCTATGAGATATCATTGGAGAACTCTGCTACGCACTACGAGCTACGCACTCCGAGCTACGCACTACGAGCTACGCACTACGAGCTACGCACTACGAGCTACGCACTACGAGCTACGCACTCCGAGCTACGCACTCCGAGCTACGCACTACGAGCTACGCACTCCGAGCTACGCACTACGAGCTACGCACTCCGAGCTACGCACTACGAGCTACGCACTACGAGCTACGCACTACGAGCTACGCACTCCGAGCTACGCACTCCGAGCTACGCACTCCGAGCTACGCACTCCGAGCTACGCACTCCGAGCTACGCACTACGAGCTACGCACTCCGAGCTACGCACTCCGAGCTACGCACTACGAGCTACGCACTCCGAGCTACGCACTACGAGCTACGCACTCCGAGCTACGCACTACGAGCTACGCACTACGAGCTACGCACTACGAGCTACGCACTCCGAGCTACGCACTCCGAGCTACGCACTACGAGCTACGCACTCCGAGCTACGCACTCCGAGCTACGCACTCCGAGCTACGCACTACGAGCTACGCACTCCGAGCTACGCACTACGAGCTACGCACTCCGAGCTACGCACTCCGAGCTACGCACTCCGAGCTACGCACTACGAGCTCCGCACTACGAGCTACGATTGTAGTATGGGGCCGCTAGTTAAGGGTAAAATTAGGGTTTATAGATTTATTAGCTTCTAGATTGGTACTTTGGAGGGTACAGACTGAGCTCTACAAGAGATCTGATAACTTATCGACAATACCAGCTATTGGCGTTGGTAACATTTTACAAGAAAATGTAATTTGTGGGATACCTTGTTCACGACTCGTCAATCACCCGAGATCTCTCAGGTAACAACTAACAAGACAGCCGTATATCCTATCCTACATGTATTATAAATGTGAGTGAAAATGAATGGATGTCCGTATGTATGTTTGCATTCACGTCAAAACGGCTCAGAGGATCAGAGAAAGACTATATTGCAGTCTGGAATCATACGTATACGGTAATTTTATCCCGGGAAATGCGGGTGACGTCCGTGGTAAACGCTAGTGAAATATAAAAATGTTAACAACTGCATCGTGGCCGTGACATCGCGGCAGTGTGCCCCCAAACATTAACTTATTGATTGCTACTAAACGTATTACTTTACATTTTACAAGGGTCGGTACTCGACGTTTTTATTTCATGGAATAAGAGGCAAACGAGCAGACGGATCACCTGATGGTAAGCGATCAGCTCCGCCCGTGGACACCCGAAACACCAGAGGCGTTACAAGTGCGTTACCGGCCTTTTAGGAATTTCAGGATTGTTTGGGATTCGGGGATTGGGGAGACTGGGGAAGGGGGTAATTGGGCCTCCGGTAACCTCACTCACACGACGAAACACAACACAAGCGTTGCTTCACGTCGGTTTTCTGCTCGGCCGTGGTATCACTCCGGTCGAGCCGGCCCAGCAGTGCCGAAGCATGGCTCTCCCACACGTCGAATCTACTACTATCTACGAATTTTCTTCACAATCCTGAATAAATTTTTATCCTCAACAGAAATAAGTTCCTCGTCTACTCAGGCCCTTAAATGACGATGATTTGTTAGCAATATAAACTCGTGCCGGTAGAACACAGCTGGAGGTATACACCACCACTTTATCATGGTCTGACATTCTATCATCTTTCCACACTATCGACGGTCAGTTTATATTGGTTGTAGAGCTTGTGGCGACGGCTTCGTCGGTTGCCCGGGCAACGGGAGGACGCAACATGGAATCTGAAGTATTTATCCTAATGTTTTATGAGCGCCTGGTACGTTTTCAAATTAAAATTTAAATTGTAAAGGATGCTTGCATATTGTAAAAGTTTTCTCGTATTTATTTTTATTTTATACAAGCGCTGGGAACAAGGACTGCGTCGTTACTATGGTAAATTGTATAATGTTTTATGCGGACATAGGCTGCCTACTAAATACAACTTAGACAATAGAGCAGTTTCCTAAATTTGATTTTAATGTTCGTCTGGTTTTAATAAGAAACATATTTTCTTTCTCACAAAATTAAATACTTTCAACGATATCTTTCCTAAACTTAACGCTATTTTATCTAAGTATTGCAACTTTAAACGAGAAAATAAAAAAGAACATGTCTAATATTTTTCCATTACCTAACCAATGGACTCATTGAAATATAATTGTTGGCGTGTCTAATAGGGCAGGTAGTTTCCAGAGTAAGAAAATTAAAAATCTAATTAGTCCGTCAGTTAAGTAATGAAAAAATATTAGACACGTATTTTTTTATTTTATCGTATAATAAAACAATACTTATATAAAATCGAAGTTTAGTAGTGGGGGCTAAAACGTCATTTCTACGTATAAAATGTACATAGAGGTGACGTCACGCGACATTTCAAATCAATATATCGTCGAAAGTATTCGTTTATGTAAGAAAATAAAAAATACGTGTCTAATGATTTAAAATAATCTACCAGACAGACACTAAAATAAAAATTAGGCATCTACTATTGCGCCCGGTATATGGGGTTGCAAAAGGGTCACCCCCTATTAATGGGACTCATAACATAAATAGTCTAAAGTAGGTGTTACATTGTACAGTGGCATTAAGTGCCGTAATGTGCACTTCTGCCTTCCCCTTCTTGGTTAAAAAGCGTGATGTTATGTTACACTATTTGCGATCGCTTAACCAAAGTTATCATCAATTCCTATAATGTATAAATATTGTATTAAATAGAAAAAAATAAGTCGCGGGTAATCTATATATCTATATTCTATATCTATATCTATATACATATATAAAAGAAAGTCGTGTTAGTTACACTATTTATAACTCAAGAACGCCTTAATCGATATAGATGAAACTTGGCAGGGAGGTAGCTTAGAACCAGGAGACGGACATAGGATACTTTTTAACTAATGCTTTTTTTACTTTTTACCGAAAATTACAAACGGGAACGGGGGGGAAATGGGGGGAAAAGTTGCGGGCAGAAGCTAGTATTAAATAAAAAATAAGTGTAGATGTTATTTATGATTAAATAACATTTACAAATACATTTATAAGTACATAAATAACTAGGTACACCTACGTAACAAAGTGCTTTGTCCGCACGTCGCGTGGGATCCCACGACCTGGGTGCTTACTCTACGAACCAGTCTCAATGTCTGTGCTATTTCAATTCTTTTTTTACGGCATAGGCCGGTGAACGAGCAGACGGATCACTTGATGGTAAGCAATCGGCGTCGCCCATGGATACCTGGAACACCAGAGGCGTTACAAGTGTGTTACCGGCCTTTTCGGGATTAGGAGTTTGAGGATCGTTGGGGATTCAGGAATTGGGGAGCTTGGGGAAGGAGGACGGCCTCCGGTAACCTCACTTACGCACAACGCAAGCGTTGCTTTACGTCGGCTTTCAGGTCGGCCGTGGTATCACTCCGGTTGAGACGACGCATTCGTGCCGAAGCATGGCTCTCCCATTCTAAGTTCTTAAATTTCTTTACCTTAAAATTCAATCCAATAATTATTCAATGTCAACACTATACAACCACAATCGTAGCTGTTACAATAGCATTCAGAGTACGGAATATAAAGACAAACTCAATACCATTTAGTTCGTAAAATATCCACGCAATACGGATGCAACGGGCGCTAGTGTTGCAACTCAAGAGTACGAAATTTCACAATACCAATGTTGATCGCTTGGAATGGGATTCAAGAGTAAGCCTAGTCAGAGTCTGATGTAGCCATGTTACTCGTTAAGAAAACACGTTTTTAATAAAGCCTTTACCTTTAATGAAAATACATAAAAATATAACTTGTTTCGGTATATTTATAACTAGCGACCCACCCCGGCTTCACACAGGTGCAATATGCATGTATTACACATATAAACCTTCCTTAAGAATCACTCTATTTTTTTAAAAAAACTTGCATCAAAATCCGTTGCGTAGTTTTACAGATCTAAGCATACATAGGGACAGACAGACGGCGGATAGCGACTTTGTTTTTTACTATGATTTAGGAAACAGTCTGAATTGATTAGAATATAATATGTAGTTTCTTGCTCGTCCTTCTCCATACGAATGTACATTTTGGTACGAGCACCGTCACTGACGGTTAGACTGACAGACTATCATTAATTATTTTGTATTTGTTGACGTTTCAAAAATATCATAACATAACATCACGCCTTTTATCCCCGAAGGGGTAGGCAGTGCACATTGCGGCATTGCCACTGTACAATGTAACACCCACTTTTCATTATTTATTTTATGAGTCCCATGTAATAGGGGATGAGCCTATTGCCATATACCGGGCACAATTGCAGACTCCATGTTACTACTGGGGTACTACTTTTTTTTTAAACCCAGTAATACTTTGCCCGACCGATTCCCAAATTGAACCCGAGACCCCTTGTCCTTGCAGTCGCACTTGCTATCACTCAGACGACGAGCAGTCCAAAAGTACCATATTATGGTTTAACTCGTCGAGTACCGTCATTATAGACACAATTAAAGAACAATAGGTTGCGGTCACCGGTGTCCTCGCGGTGTTTGACAGTTTAATTGAAATAAATACTTTGATTTTGCCCTTGTACCTCCCACTAAGCATCAGTCACAAGAACCAAGCAATAGGGGGAGCGAGTACTTACACATACTTGCATGTTCCTTGAGAATTTTTAGAAAAACTGAATATCTTTGTAACCCATGGAGTTTCTTGCTCGTTCTTCTCCATAGGAATCTACACCTTGGAATGAGCAAATAGATTCACTTTTAATTTTTTTTTGTTGACGTTCAAAAGTGCCATTCTGGCCTAATTGAAATAAATGATTTTGACTTTGACTTTATTTTGACATTCTTTTAATCGACTCAGGAATCGAACTTGTAGCCTCTTGCGTGTCTGTCCATTGGCCACTCATTCACCTATTAATACAGTCAGTTACAATTATTATTAAAAAAAAAATACAGAAAATATTTGACTGAAAACATAGGGTAAATGCACCTATAGCCGTTAGACAACCGAAATAATGTAACATTAAAACAAACATGTACAAATAATTGAATGTTTGCAGAAAACGCGTGTCGTTTGCTGAGCGGAGTCATTGACATATTGTTGTTATATAGTGTCGCATAGTTTCACACGGAGGTCGCCGAGCGACTCATTACAGCGCTTTGTTTACCTCGCTAATAGTAAAATTGAAAACAATCATCTGTCATTATATGCGAGGTTCTACGTACTTGCAGCGGTCACGGATACTTCCTGATGCACACCTTATTTATTTCAAGTTTTCTACTTGTATTATGGTGATAGACATGCATCTAATGAACTAAAGATGAGACGAAACTTATTGCCTCCCTTAATATGACTATATTGTTTTAAGTTTGAATTACTTATGACGTTTTCGCATTTTTTATACATTATAATGTTTAAGCATATTTCTTAAAGCTAATTTAAGAGGAAAAGTACAAGGTCGATGCAAAAAATTATGACTATTCTCTACATGAAGTAGTTTTTGTTATGTAGGTACTTGGTCCATGTTTTGTTTCAAGCGCAACCATTTGGCCATGACTTGTTCACGCGTGATTTTTACATCCAGTCATGTAATTACAAGTTAGTAGCGCGGCTGTGTCTGCGCTGCGAGCCTCAGCGCTGAGTACCCTCGACCTTGCGACGGCGGCGCGCGGCGGCGGGCGCTGGCCTGCGCGCGATACACTCGCACACCTCACACAGCTGATCCACATCACCCTCCGGCCAAGTCACGTCTATATTTCATAAGCTCGGAGCACGAAACTTGTGGAGGTCACACGGGCATAAATAAACAGCGAGAGAGCTGGCTGGCTGCGCTCCGCATCCGGCGCGAAGCCCTATCGTGGAGGGGCTGCGAGCCGGCCCGAGCCGAGCTGCTAATACGCATCGACGCAATATCCTTTGTAAGACATGCTACGTCCCACTCGCCAGCGGAGCGCGCGACAGGGACGGGGCGCTACGGTTGACACGAAGAAGCCTAGCTTAGCGTTCCGGGCGTGACGTCACGGGGGCGCGGGGTACCGCGGCGCGGAGGGGCGCGGGGGCGCGGGGTGGCGCGGGGTGGCGCGGCGCAGCGCCGGCAGTGTACGGCCGGCCGCTACATCGCGCGGACGGATGCACGATGCGTGCACGGTGAAACAAACAATCGCGATGCTGTTTGAGAGTCCCAACGCGAAACTGTACCCGGCGTTCAACATCCCGCCGCCCGTGAGGCTCAGGTGAGCAGTGTGTGCCGCGGTGTCTGTGACCACCGCTTGTTGTGTTCAAGTGTCAGTGTTCGTAGTTTTTGCCGAAGCCATAAAAAATGCCTATAAAGTGTTGTTATGTACGGCGGGCGCGCCGCGGCCGCGACAGTGCGTCTGTCCAGTAACGCTCCAGCGACCGACGAATGAAACGTCGATACGACGTCGCCGCTCTATATTTTTTTCTCACAACCAACCATTATTGTGTTCCGAGTGATCTTAATGTGAATCGTGTCGTACCTAGTGATGTATGGCGCACGAACATGTCCGATGGCGTCTCGTTTCCATCTCGATATCCGAGGCAATTGCATCGGAAGCTCCCGTCGCTTCTACTATAAATAGTATTCAATTCCGTTCAATTGCCGACTGATCGAGACAATCGATTTGCTCAAGTCACGGCCGAGTTTGGTTCAAAACGAAAATCGTTCCTGATCGCTTTGTCTCACGCCATTCGAGAGCCTGGAGACAGTGGCGATGGAACTGTTGCTTCAGCTGAGCGCAGTAAGTGCACGCTCGACTTGTATGGAGACGAGTTTCTGTCAACAAATCGTTTTGCATGGATCGATGTCTGGTGTCGCTGAACGTGAGCCGGCCACCGACTGGTTCTCGGAAACGTGTCGAGTCGTCACCGTGTCGGTCACGTCGCGTCGCTGTAAACACGGCGGCTTCCTGTTGCGCCGAGCCGCATAGCTCAGCTATACAGGGCTTAACTTACTTGTGCTAAAGCAAATCGTTAGAACACTGCGGTTGGGCAATGCTTCGTGCGCCCAGACTCTGTAATTTATGTGTTTCCAGTCATTTTTGCTCAGCGAAGTTAATCCGACTGTAAGTAGTAGTTTTGGGCTCTTTACGGGCCATTTGGCATCCGTAATGCCATGTTTGGCACTGAAACGAAGCGTTTAGGGAGTTATAAACTTCGCAAGAAGATAAACGACACACTAATAAGGGAAACACTAGCAATGTTGCCGTTTAATAACCTCACACAATCCACAGTTTGTCTCAAGTAGTCCACATAACAACACAGTGAGTCCTGTGTCGACAGCTCGGAGGTGTTTACCGCGACATTCACGGGGTCGTTTACCCATGCAGACAGTATCTGGTGTGGCGATCAGGCTCCGAGTTACAATAGCTGCCCGCCACCGTACAGTTACCGGGTCCCTCGTCCCTCGTCCTCTACAACCCAATTCCCTCATTTGGCTAAACAAAGCCCTCGTCTGAACCACTTTTTTATTGTTTCGTTTTGTGAACAATGGTTTGTTCGCTTTGTTGTGGTAGGAGGGCACTCGTGTAACTACGACAGTTCATACAGGATGATATGTGAGGCCCTCTCTCGCGAGAATATCTTCGAAACGTTTGCTATTTATGTTCGTATCTTTGAAGCTTCCGTTTACTAGGAAACACTTACGCCGACATTACAATCTCAACTGTTTGGATGGACGATATGAATCTTTCTCTCTGAGGATAAATATAGATTTAAGAGCACTTCACTATTGAACAAGTCTTTTAAACTGACGAAAATGAAATTGAGTTTTCACAACTGTCTTGCGCAGCATTCAAATAGAAAACTTCGTATTCTTTTAAAGACGATTCAACGACATCTATGCAAAATAGTATTTAAATGAACTTATAAACGTCTTTTAGATTTGTGGGAGGAGACTGACTTCCCGAATCGAATTGGAATAGAGTTGTGTGTAGGACGCTTACACTCGATAATTGACTTGCGTTTTATTGTCAAGCACTTTAATGCTAATGTTAACAAATGGAGTTCCTTTGTACGACATAATCCGCTACTTGGAACCATGTATTTTCGAGTTTGTTACGGAAAAACCCCACAAAAGGCCAAATTACCTTATTTTTGAATACAGTCACGATTTCTATTATACCGCCGGTTATTATGACAGCGTGTTTTTATATCAAAAACTGATGAAAACTGTATCAAAAGGAAATGTTCTTCAATTTTGTTGTAACCGAACTGACTTTCAAGTTAAGTGCTTATAATTGCGGCGCGTTCACGATAATTGTATTCAAATCCGTTATTTTTAAATTGAAAATGGTTCTCACGGAAAGTAAAACAACATGTAAGTAATAAATCTAATATTGCACACAATAACGATCATTTTCTACAAAAAAAAAAACATGAAATTCTTATTAGCCGACCAACTGCAAAAATGGCTGTTTTTTTTAAAAAGTTCCAATTGACAGCTACAAGGTGTTTCACCCTACAACATCGGTGACACGAAAAAAAAAAAAATTACAGTATTATTTTCCGTTAAATATGTTAATACGGACAGCTGATTTATTACAAACATACAATTTCTATAATTCCTATAAGAATATTAAAAACATACATTATTCTATGTAAATAAATGCCTTTTTTTTTTTTTTTTGATGACGGGGGGAAACCTTCAAAAGGCGCCCAGCCTTTTTGGGGATAAAAGACTAGGGAGTGTGGGATTTTTACCTCACTAAAACCACCCCGGTGGCCACCCTCAACACCTGAATGGAGGCACCGGGTCCTCTATAAGAGACCTGCTCCGGCGCCTCTACGGTGCAACGCCTGTTACGACACATCCCTAGGGAGACGGGTGTCTCCTTTAAGCCTTGCTGTCTACGGCAGCACGTGACCACTGTGCCACCGTCTTCCCTGAGACCACAAGGTGGGCACCTAGAGTCCCCACTCTACGCACCCGTGGCCCCAAAGGTCCGCCTGAAGTTTATGCAGGCGGGATTTCGGCGTGTTAGGCATCAAGGTGGTTACCTCCTCGACGCCTTCTACGAGCAGGATCGGCCCTCTCGCGACCCCGCTCACCAGCTTCCTTTTGGGACATTACAGTCTCACAAAACGAGACTACTTCCCTCCAATTTTCTGTATCTGCCAGCATAGCCTTAACTACGGCTGGCAGAGACAGGTCTCGCCCGATCTTGGCAACCAGGACCCGCCGCTCAGAGGCCCATGCTGAGCACTCCTCGAGCGTGTGCTGTGCGGAATCCAGGTCACCCCCGCAGTGGTGGCAATTTGTCGTGGCCTCTCGCCCAATCCTGTTTAGGTACTCACCAAAGCAACCGTGACCGGTCAGCACCTGAGTAAGCCTGAAGGAGACACGCTCCTCTCTCTTCAGCCAGACTTCGAAGTGCGGCAGAATGGCTTCGACAACGCGCTTACATGAGATCTCCGGCTTTTGTAGCCGCTCACGCCACCGTTCAAGCGCGTGTCGCCTTTCCTGCCGCCTCAGCCTAACGAACGCCACTCCTGGCACTCTACCGCCATTTTGGCGGACAGCACGAATTTGTTCGTAAACTTTGGCATCCATATCCGCCAGGATATCCAATGGCGGAAAGCGAGCCAGGAGAGTTGCCGCCTCAAAAGACACCGTACGGTATCCTCGTGCGATGCGGATGGCCATTTTCCGCTGCAAACGATAAATTTTCGTTCTACAGCGTCGGGCGCCTGACAGTCGAGCTGACCAAACAGGCGCCCCATAAAGGACCATCGATCGCACGACACCCGCATAGAGGCGGCGAACTTCTTCTCGAGGTCCCCCAATATTAGGCAGCAGTCTGTGCAGAGCACCCACAGCCTTCTCAACTCGAGGGACCAGGCGTTCGAAATGTTCTTCGAAGCCCCACCGACCATCCAAGGTCAGGCCTAAATACTTTATGTATCGCCCAACCTGGACCTGCGCATCTCCAACGTGGACTGACGAACTGGGTGGCTCCTTGGTCCTCGGCAGCTTATGAAACCATAGAGCCTCAGTTTTATGAGGCGCTATCTCCAAACCCAGTTCGCGGATTGAAGCCACGACTTTTGCCGCTCCGAGCTCTGAAAGCCGGATAGTCTCCTCAAAGGTACTTCCACTGGCCATTACCAACGTGTCATCTGCGTAGCAAATGACATGGACACCAGCGGGAAGTTCGACACGCAGGACCGCATCATAAGCGAGGTTCCACAATAAAGGACCCAGGACAGATCCCTGTGGAACTCCGCATGTAATCTCCCTCCGCTGGACGCTACCGTCCCGGCCCACATAGCGAATGTGCCGGTCGTGCAGATAAGCCCCGACAATATTCTGCAAATAGGAAGGAATCCTGTGATGAACAAGAGCCTCCCTGATTGCCTTCCAGGGTAGGGAGTTAAAGGCGTTTACGATATCTAGGCTTATTGCCAACGCAACCCCACCCCGGGACACTGCCTGATCCGACAGCGAGCGGACGCGCAGTATCGCATCTATTGTGGAACGCTGCTGCCGGAAGCCATATTGGTTCTCAGACAGGTCGGGACCAACTCTCGACAGGTGCCCGACGAGCCTTTCAGCAATCACTCTTTCAAAGAGCTTGGAAACCTCGTCGAGCAGGCAAATGGGACGATATGCAGAGGGTGATTCTGCGGGCCTGCCTTGCTTCTTTAAGAGGACTAATCCGGCTTCCTTCCAACGGCTGGGGAACACGCCTGACTGAAGACAGCTATTGAACAACCGCCTCAGACGGTCCCCTAGAGCACCTAGAGCCAACACCAACGCACGGCCAGGGACACCATCCGGGCCAGGCGCGGTGTTTCGCGCACTCAATCTACGCACAGCTCGGTCTAACTCTCCTTCTGTCACCCCTAAGTCAGGGGACCAATCTGATAATGGTTGGGGTAGTGAGGGACTGTCTATAACTACTGGAAAGAGTGTATTTATCACCCTTTCCAGTAGATCCGGATCAATGGTCTCCGTAAGGGGGGG